CCAACTTGCTTAGTTGCTGTAGCTAGGACTTCTAGTACATGCTGAACAGCAGTAATAAAGCAGACATCCTTGTTTTACTCCTGATCTTAAGGAGAAAGCTCTCGGTCTTTCACCGTTTGAGTATGATGTTAGATGTGGGTTTTTCACAAATGCCCTTTGTAGTGTCAGTTTCAATGCACTTTTTTTTTCTAGGAATTTATGTAATTTATCTAAAATTTCAAATATATTGGCATGAATTCATAATATCTTTGTGATCTTTTAATATATGTAGGATTTATTTGCTTTGTTTTTCAGATAGGGTCTCCTAGTTTTGCCTGGGCAGGTCCTAGATCTTATTACCTCTGCTTCCTAAGTACTTGGGATCATGGGTGTGCCACCATGCCAGGCTTGTTTTTTTGAGACAGGGTCTCACTAATTATTTGCCCGTCTGGTCGCAGACTGTGATCCCCCTGATCTTTACCTCCTGAGTAGCTGGGATTACAGGCATGTACCACTATGCCTAGGGCCCCCTGTTTAAAATTTTATCCAAGCACATATGCATGTATTTTAAAGTCATATGCAGTTCTACAGGTTAACAACAACAACAAAAATCCCCCTCCCCAGAGGTAACCATTTTCCCCCTTTTAGCTCATTACCTTTAGTATTTACTTCTGTCTCTCTAAATAATTACCTGTGTTACTACTTGATTTTTTTTTCATTGTTAGGAATATCTTTTGACTTCCTATTGGGGAAACCATTCGTTCATTCACTCACAAAATATTTTACTGAGTGTCTGTGTGCTACGCACTGTTCTGAGTGTTGGGAAACAGCAAACAAAACAAATATCTATCCGGAAAGAGAGATGCATTACAAATATAAATTAGAATATTAGTGATGATTATAAAATAGGATCCCTCTTAGCAAGGTAGTATGTCTTTGTGTTCCACTGGTACCCTGTTCATAACCCGTTAGTCAGCAGACTCTGCACTACATTGCTGTATGATTGTGATTGGTGGTATGTGCCTTTAGACCTCAGTTATGTTCCTCCTTTGGTTCTGAGTCTGGCTGTGACAGAAAGAGTTCTCTGTATTAGAAGAGAGGAGCCTCATGGGAAGGTGCTGGAGAGTTTAGGTTATGTTTAAAAAATTGGTTTGGGATCGCTGGAGGGATGGTCCAAGTGGTAGAGGAGCAAGCGCAAAATTCTGAATTCAAACCCCAGTACCACCCAAAATTGAAAAAAAATGGGTCTGGGTAATTCTGAAGGAGTTTTAGTAATGAATGGAGCTCTAGGATTAACTGTAAAGACTTGCTAGATCCAAATTTTTCACTTGAAGGGTTAAAGATAACAAATTAAAATTATCAAAAAGGAAAGTACCTTATAATAACTAAAATTTCAAAATGTCACCAGTGAGTAGTAATTGAAGTTTAGGAATGCTTGGATATTACTGGCTTCTCTGGTTAACCATGCTAGTTTTTATTACAATGTAGTTGACCCTCATTTCTTTGCTTTGTTAGCTTGATAATAAAAAAGGACAAAATGGGCTGGTGGAATGGCTCGCGTGGTAGAGTGACTGCCTAGCAAGTGTGAGGCCCTGAGTTCAAACCCCAGTGCTGTTAAAAAAAGAACAAAAAAGATAAAAAGGGTAAAATGAAGAATAATGATAATGCATGAATAATTGCTATCATTTTATATCTCCTTACTTATCTTGGTTAGTAAGAATAGGAGATAAAATGGTATTTCATAATTTATGTCTCAAAATCTTTACCCAGAATTATAACTAGTTTATCTAGTTTAGTGTTTATCTAAAATAAATTTTTGATTATTTGACAAAGTATTAAAAACTATACTATGACCTATACATTTTAGAATTAAATATTTTATATATGATAACCTCTCCATACAAACATTTTTTCTCACATTTTGTTATAACACACACACACACACACACACACACACACACACACGACAAATGTTTTCTACGGTGGTGAGGATTGAAACCAGGGCCTCATGCATGCTGTACCATTGAGTCTCACCCTCCTGCTCCATAATACATATATATCTATATGTAGATATATGCAAAGCAGCCCCTCTACCACTTGATCCACACTTCCAGTCCATTTTAGTTACTGGGAGACCGGGGAGGGAGGGGGGGAGAGGGGAGGGGGGGGGGGGGTGTCACATGAACTGTTGCCTGGGCTGGCCTTGAACCATGATCCTCCTGATCTCAGTCTTCCAAGTAGCTAGGATTATAGGCATGAGCCACTGGTGCTCAGCTCCCATGTTATATTTTTCTATTATTTTTGTCTTTCCTTAAAAAATTTTTAAAAAAAATATGATGGAGAAAAGACAGCTTCTTCAACAAAAACTGCTGGGAAAACTGGTTAGCAGTCTGCAAAAAACTGAAACTAGATCCATGTTTATCACCCTATACCAGTATTAACTCAAAATGGATCAAGGACCTTAATATCAGACCCCAAACTCTAAAGTTGGTACTGTTTCCTGTACCAACTAATAGAACTAATAGGTATAGGCAAGGACTTTCTCAATGGAACCCCAGCAGTTCAGCAACTAAGAGCTAGCATAGACAAATGGGACTTCATAAAACTAAAAAGCTTCTGCTCAACAAAAGAAATGGTCTCTAAACTGAAGCGACCACCCACAGAGTGGGAGAAAATATTTGCCAGCTACACATCAGACAAAGGACTGATAACCAGAATATATAGGGAATTTAAAAAACTAAACTCTCCCAAAATTAATGAACCAATAAAGAAATGGGCAAGTGAACTAAACAGAACTTTCTCAAAAGAAGAAATTCAAATGGCCAAAAAACACATGAAAAAATGCTCACCATCTCTAGCCATTAAGGAAATGCAAATCAAAACCACACTAAGATTCCACCTCACCCCTGTTAGAATAGCCATCATTGGAAACACCACCAACAACAGGTGAGGAAAAAGGAACCCTTATACACTGCTGGTGGGAATGCAAACTAGTACAACCACTCTGGAAAAAAATGTGGAGGCTTCTTAAAAAGCTAAAAATTGACCTACCATTTGATCCAGCAATACCACTCTTGGGGATATACCCAAAAGAATGTGACTCAGGTTACTCCAGAGGCACCTGCACACCCATGTTTATTGCAGGACTATTCACAATAGCCAAGCTATGGAAACAGCCAAGATGTCCCACTACTGATGAGTGGGTCAAGAAAATGTGGTATGTATACACAATGGAATTCTACTCAGCTATGAAGAAGAATGAAATCTTATCATTTGCAGGTAAATGGATGGAACTGGAGAACATCATCCTGAGCGAGGTTAGCCAGGCCCAGAAGACCAAAAATCGTATGTTCTCCCTCGTACATGGACTTTAGATCAAGGGCAAACACAACAAGGGGATTGGACTTTGATCACATGATGAGGCAAGAGCACACAAGGGAGGTATGAGGATAGGCAAGAAACCCAAAAAAAACCAAGATAGCATTTGATGTCCTCAATGCAAAGGAACTAATACAGAAACTTTAAAGCAACAAAGACCAATGGGAGAAGGGGACCAGGAACTAGAGAAGAGGTTAGTTTGAGAAGAATTAATTTAGAATGTAACACATATGTACAGGAAAGCAATGCGAGGAATCTCCCTGTATAGCTATCCTTATCTCAACTAGCAAAAACCCATGGTCCTTCCTATTATTGCTTATACTCTTTCTTCAACAAAATTAGAGATAAGGGCAAAATAGTTTCTGCCTGGCAGTAAGGGGGTGGCGGGGAGGGAGGAGATGGGGGGGGGGAAGGGGGAGGAGAGGGAGGGGGCCAGGGGGAAGTGGGGAGAAATGACCCAAACATTGAATGCACATATGAATAAAACAAATTAAAAAAATTTTTTTTTACTAATTTAGTTTCGAATATTAAATTTACAAATTTCTGAGTTAAACCACCAACTCAGCTGGGCATGGTGGTCCATGTTTATAATCCTAGCACTTGGGAGGCTGAGGCAAGAAGATCACAAGTTCAAGAATCTAAAATCACTTGTCAGAATATCAGAGACTATACACTAACTTCATTCATACTTGACACATCAGTCAGTACAAATGCCCAAAACACTGGCAACAATAACAAATTATTGCCAAAAAACTCAGATGGTGGTATTTATCTTAACCATAATCATGGCTGGGGGCATGGCTCAAGTGGTACAGCACTTGCCTATCAAGTGCCAGGACCTGAGTTCAATCCCTAGTACCAAAATAAAGCAAAAACTTTGAGGCTTTAACCATAACCACATATTTTATAAATACTAAAAAACTATTAGACGTCTAGCTGCTTAATAAAATTCAATTTTCTACTCTTTTATTCCAAAAAAGCTCTTTGAAGAGTATCATATAAAATTTCTTATAGTGTCAGTTTTGGCTTTGAAAACTAGGTCCTGTTAAAAAACTTAAAAAGTGAAAATGCTTAGATAATTATGACTCAGTCAACCACTGAATGAAGATTCATTCAGTAAATGAATCTTTACTGGCCAAATCAAATTCTCTCAAGTGAGGAGTTATCCTTTGCCACTTATCTCCACATGCACTATTGGTAAGGTGGAATATTTAGTGTTTAATACAGACAGTCAATCACCTGAATACCCAACTAGTTTAACAACAAAAGGAGCTTAAAATCTTGAGTGACTATGAGAAGCTTTTAAAGGCATGGATCTTATTTAGACACTGTTTTCTGATCATTAACGACTTTGGATAACTCTGAAAATAGGTTAAATCTTTCGGGCAATTATATAAATGTATCTGGACCAGGTGCTAATATGGTGACATACAATGAAGACAATTTTCTTCTATTGAGTAATACGCCTCATTATCAGATAGGATCGAAGACTGTATAAAGGTATGTTACCAATTACTAACTTACAGAAGATTAAAATGCATTAACTTAGAGAATTTGCTATTATCATGCTTATACATTTTTTTAAATTGAAGGAAAAACTTGATTAATACATTCTGAAGTAACATAAAATGAAAACTGATTACCTAATCAAGTAGCAACAGAAGAGTAAACTGAGAATGAAGACAAATATAGCAGTTCCAAAAACCACAATATATATATTGAGAGGCAGATTCTGGAATCCAATATTAGGCATCCTGAAGTTGTAATGTGGGAAATCCGAGCTCATGGATGAACTGGAGAAGAAGAAAACAATGGAAAACAATTAGGTATAAAGACTAAGAACCAAGATGATATTATACTTGCATAGAAGCAAAAGTTTTCTAATGTTTGACCCCAGTTGGAATGAATCTGACAAAAGTCTTAATATTCTTGCCATTCATTCATCATACCAAACATTTGCTAAGTGCTTATTCTATACCTGACACTATAAAGATTAGGGATCCTATATAAAAGAACTTTGCCAGCTGCAGTCATTAAAAAGTATTTTACTAAAATAACGTCAGTAATCAATAAACATGAAAATGTTCAACCTCAAAGAAGTGCAAAAAAGAAAAAAAGTCTTAAGATTTTTCAGATTCTTTAATAATTTTTTTTTTTTTTGGTGGTACTGGGGATTGAACTTAGGGCTTGACACTTGCTAGGAAAGCACTCTACTGCTTAAGCCACACCCCCAGTCTTTTTGCTTTTAGTTTGTTTTTCCGATAAGAGTCTCAATTTTTGTCCAGGCTGACCTTGGACTGCAATTCTCCTACCTCTGCACCACCATGCCTGACTGCAAACTTTTACTTTTAACTTACGAACTAAAACCCTGAGGTAGCAATATTTATAATGGTAAATATCAAAAATAGATGTTTCACAAGACATATATAAAATAATTATGTAGAGTCACATGTTACAATCTTATAAAGGCATGAAAATCTAGGTTTTCAGTAAATTTTTTTTTTTGGTGGTACTGGGGTTTCAACTCAGTGCCTCATACTTGCTAAGCAGGCAGGCACTCTACTGCTTAAGCCACTACGCCAGCTCTGTTTTTAGTAAATCTTAATGTCAAGAGAAATAAAAAGATATGTGAGAAAAGCAAATGGGATATAAGTGCATGTTAAATATGAAATGAAGGCTGGCACGCACCTATAATCCTAGTTGTTTGGGAGACGAAGATTAGGAGGATCACAGTTTGAGAACAGCCCAGTCAAAAAGTCCAAGATACCCCATTCTCAACCAATAAAACACTGGATTTAGTGGCACATACCTGTCATCCCAGCTATGTGGGAAGTATAAATTGGAAGCTAGCATTCCTATTGAAAAATAACAAAAGCAAAAAGGTCTGGGGGTGTGGCTGAAGTGGTAAAGCACCTGCCTGGCAAGCACAAGGCCTGGGGTTGAAACCCAAGTACTGTACCAAAAACAAAAAAACCCCAAAAAACCCAAAAAAAACCAAATGAAGAAAGAAACAAACCAACCAACCAGGGACTGGGGATGTCGCTCAGTGGTAGAGCACTTGCTTATCTACCATGTGAAAGGTGCTTGGTTTGATCCCTAGCACTGCAAAAACAAAACCAAACCAAAATATGAAACCAATTTTGTAAATATTCACATGTGCATGTATGTGTGTTTGATGTATTAGCAGAAAAAAGATCCCAAATTAACAGTGACTTATAATTTACTAGTCATTTTTATTATCTTCTTCTTTTTTAAAAATCCCTTTTATTAAGTCAGGCTTTTTTCTTGAGAACTTTTTTTTTTTTTTTTTTGTCATACTGGAGTTTAATCTCAGGGCCTCATGCTTGCTAGGCAGGTGCTCTATTGTTTGAACCACTCTGCTGCCCCTTTTTGTGTTGGGTATTTTGAGATAGGATCCCACGAACTATTGGCCTGGGCTGGCCTCAAACTGTGATCCTTCTGATCTCTGCCTCCTGAGTAGCTAGGAATATGGGCGTGAACCACTGCTCTCTAGCTGTTCACAGATCTGTAGTGTTCTTGTTGGTTCCCAGAAGAGTGTACTTATACTGCTGACACCATTGAGATGCTGACTGTTATCTGAAATTTGAGTCACATCACTACTTTAATTTCCAGTCACTAATATCTTATACAGCTGCAAAGAACAATGCCACCAATAGAATTTCTTCTCTAGAACTACTAAGCATAAATAATGGATAATGTTTAGTTTTGAATCATTGACCATTTTGGCTTAGTAAAGCAAGTGCTTTTACTGAAACCTAATTTCCTTTTTCCTACTCCGAGATCTTAGGAAGGGGAGAAGGATGTAGACAAGAAGTATGTTACCAAATACACATGGCACATTTACTGTAGAGCTATAAGAAAACCACAGCGGCACAAAACACAGCTCTTCACTTTCATACTGCTGAGAGAGCCTCACTTGATGACCCTTGTTAGGCAAGACTTGACAGTCCTTCAATCCCTAGGAAATGTCCCTTCTAGACAAATTGTGCTTGGTAAGATACCTCTCTCTCACTTTAGTAAATAAGATTGGTGAGCTAAGAGAGAGGAAATACATTAACAGACAGAAAGCAATGTGGTGGGAAAGGAACAGGTTTATAGTTAGCAAATCTGAATGCTTATTTTTCTAGTATGTCACTAGATAAATGTCAGAACTTGTCCCAACTATATCTCAATTTTCTCATCTTTCAATGGGATAATGCCTATGCTACCAATTTTAAAGGATTCCTGAAATAAGATAATAGAAATTGAACAGTCTAAAAACCCTAAAAGGTAGGACAAAAAACATTAAGGCTTTAATGTCTGTCTGTGTTTGGGGGAAGGAGCCACAATAAATAATATAAAAGAAGCCCTCTAAAAGATTCCATCTCTAGAGAGGATTTCACTAAACCTTTCTTTCTCAGGGAGCTCTTGCACACGTAGTTCTGAGCTTTTGTGTATCAAGTGGCCTGCTATCCTGGTCCCCAGAGACAGGAACTAGAAACTGTGCCCTGGCCAAAGGCATCCATCAACATGAGCCAGGAATGAAGTCAGTGCAGTGTTGTGAGAACACTGCCCTGTCGGCATCCTTGCAGAGGTGGTGCTACTAAGGAACTCTTGCAAAAATCAGGGATACAGACACACAGACCATTCAAAGGTATTGTCATCAAAGTGAAGAGATACCTGTCTCAGTACTCCTAGGAGCTAGATATTAAGACTTTCATGAGTTCTCACCACCTGACAGTACCTCTTATTTAACCCGTATAATCACAGGGGTGAAAGTTGACAGAGAATATGTTGATGCGGAATATATTCTATTTCTTTTAGTAAACAAAATGGAGTAGCTACAATTAACATGCTGGCCCAATAATCTGAGGAGATGGTGTTATTCCAAGATATTAATCCTGGTCTAGTGAAAATTTTCACTATATCTTTCTAGTATGATGAAATTAAGATTTTTTTGAGAAAGGGTCTTTCTGGCCTTACACTCATGATCCTCATGCCTTAACCCCTGAGTGGTAAGATTACAAGTGTGTACCACCACACCCACCTAAATAAGATAATTTTTTAAAAAAGAGAGCTACATATTTATCTTCCCAGTAATAAGAATTCTTTGCTACTGAAGTCTTACAAATGTACAAGTTATTTAGTAGTTGCTTCTTGTGGGAATGAAGAGGAAAAAGAACTTAATAGTGCATGATTGGATCTCACTTGACATTTCCAACTTGTTCATATGAAAACCATTTTTCCCCTTATGGAATCCATAGCTCCTGAAATCTTTAGCTTCAGTCCACATTTCAAACCACTTAATCAGTTAACAAAACAAACAAACACCCAAATAATCACAAAAAACCATAAAGAAAGACAAAAAGATGCCGGCATGATATCAGCAATAGGGCATCTCACCAAGAAGATGTAAGTGGGACAGACTATAAGTGATTTGAATTCCTACAGCACCTGACTTTAACACAGTATGTCACAGCTAGATAGGCTGCAGCAGTGTTTCTCAAAGCATGTTTGCTAGCCACTATCTTAGGATAGTTCCTGTTCCCTGGACAGTATCATAACTTCCCATGAAATTAGTTAGAATTCTACCTTTACTTAAAAAATCCTTACTAGAGAGACACGAGTAATTATACTCCTATATTTTACAATTTTCAGTTCACAAACCATAAAAAGCTCACAGATTTATTTTTAATAAAGAATCAAAGAAAAACTTAGGAAATGGTCCATATAAAAGGCATGATGAACATTTCTTCCATGAAAACACCACAGTTACCTTTAATTTTAAAGTTATTTCTTCAGTGCAGTATTTTCTATCTATAATTACTTTTTAAAGTCATCAGCAGAAGAAATGTAAATATTGATTTACCCACTGCATTTTGTCCTGGTCAGAATCTAAAGGAAGATATTTTCAGGGCTGGAGCAGTAAAGTCTCTCTCTCTCTCTCTCTCTTTTTTTTTTTTTGTGATGCTGGGTTTTGACACTGTAAGGATCCCTAGTGCTATTCTTTTATAGTCAAACATACTTCCACCCTCACCTTTACTTTCATTTTCACCCTCTACAACACACTCATGTGATAGAGCATGTGCCTAGCAAGCGTGAAGCCCTGAGTTCAAACCCTAGTACCATCAAAAAAATTGTGTGTGTATATGTGTGTGTGTGCATGTGCATGTAGCCAGGCATGATAAGCATGCTTGTACTTCCAGCATCAAAAAGTTGAGGCAAGAGGACTGCATTCAAGGCCAGCTTAGGCTACATAGTGAGAAACTATCTAAAAAATATAGGTATATAAATGGAGAAATACATAAATGGAATCACAAAGTATGTAACTTTCTGAAGTTAGCTTTTTTCACTAAGCATAATTTTCTGGATATTCATCCAAGCTGTTATTTGTAGCAATAATTTGTTCTTTTTATTGCTGAGTAGTGTTCCAGTTTAACTATTCATCTGTAGGGAGACATCTGGGTTGTTTCCAGGTTTTAGCTATCACAAATAAAACTGCTATGAACAGTCAGGTATAGGTGTTTATATAAACATATTTTCATTTTTTTTTTGGTGGGAGTGGGGTTTGAACTCAGGGCTATGCACTTACAAAGCACATGCTCTACCACTTAAGCCATACTTCAATCCTTTTAATCTTTTTTTTTTTGGGTGGTACTGGGATTTGAACTCAGGCCTCATGCTTGCTAGGCAGGTGCTCTTACCACTTCAGCCATTCCTCCATACTTACTCTTGTTTTGGAGATGGGGTCTTGCAAACTATTTGCCTAGGCTGGCCTCAAACTGTGATCCTT